AGTCTGACACATCTGTTTTCTATTTACGTAATTTACTTAAAAAAAAAAACGTTAATGGTAATCCGACAACCAAAATCTATGATAACATGCTGGCTTTCTCTTTACAATTGTCAACTTTCTTTACTTATACAGCAATATACCTTCATCACCTGCATACGGAGGGTATATTTCCCAGTTTATTGGATATGCAAGCGCATGCTCTATGCATAAATAGTTTCTAAAACGAGGTATATTGTTGACAAACAAGTTGATGAAACAAGAATATCAAGAGTCTCGTTTATTAAAGTCATTGTTCACTGTTATATGTATTTGTTTAAAACATTCAGTATACATGTAATGCGCCTCGCGATCGGCTTACAATGGTTTTCTTGGGGTGAAAATTTTCAATTTTACACTCAACTTTATGTTATATTTATATTAAAGTCTTTAATGAGATAAACTTTTCCTTATATATTCTCTTCTAAATTAAACACATAAATACTGTAGACGTACTTTTTTCCGCGTGGTATTAATTTACGCTATGTACGCGGTCACAAATTTTCCGTGGAAATTTGTCCAAGCGAACTTAATATAAATGTAAGATATATAGTGACAATTTAAGAAATCCGCGTAATTTTCTACCAGCGAATTAAACAGAAATTGAGATTCCGCGGAATTATGACCCCGTGGAAAAAAGTACGTCTACAGTATTAATAAAGTATAATGTTTTAACTGTAAATCGTTTTTAAATTGAAAACAAAAAAATGTTTGTCATTTTTTGTCTATAAACTTATTCCCCTAATGCCCCATCCCTCTCCGTGAAACACAATGCATTTCAGCATGAGTTTGTGAATTGGCAGTCTATATAACCTAAATAAAGGGTTTTTTGTTTCCCAAGGGTTATTTTTTTATCGCGTTTTCCATTGACTTCTAAAGTGAAAACGCAAGTTTTACCAAAACCATGCATTTATCTCTCTTTGTTTTCATAAATAAGTGATGTTTTCAATAAAAATCCATAAAAATATCGATATAAATATTAAGAATAATTGGTATCTGTTAACTTTTGAAAATTTCCCTGGAGGTAGGCGGCGGGAGAACATTCACAGTTCTTTCTCATATTTATATAAAGGCAAAATACGACATGAAATCAATAAAAATATTCAGACGATACCAAAAGTTAAACATTAAAAACATTAATACGATGTAAGTAGTGCGCCGCGTGAATGGCCGCACATTTTTGCTCTCTGATATTATCAATTATTTTTGTGTTATTCTGTGTGCAATTCTGTGGATTTTTATATCAGCATGTCGGTAAAGACTTCAAGAACAAGATTCACTTGTTCGTTTGCGGATGTTTTAGCATTCTTGTGCATATTTTATGGATTTATATTCAAACTTTTGTCGGTGAACCAGGGTGAGTTGAAATCATGCAAAGTGCTGACCGTGACTCCTATTGTGTACACCCCTGCCGAGTTAAAGTCGCTCAGGTATAACAATACCATGTCGTCTGTCAGGCTTAATGAAAATGTAATGCATAAAATAAAACTATTTGGAATTAAACGGCGCTACCGTGGTCACAGATCAAGACGAAGGAAACCGAAACAAAAAGACTGGAATAAGGGAGTTCATTTAGATTTGTTAAGACCTCTTAACAGAAGGCTAATTGATTACTCAATATACAGAAATCTCTCATTCGCGGTTGTAAACACGCAATCAATATGTAATAAGGTCGAAGAATTCATTCATCACATTATAGAAAACAAACTAGATATTTGTTGTGTTACTGAAACTTGGTTAAACGACAGTAATCCGAAACACAGAATTGTGAGATCCGATCTAAATATAACTGGATATACTTTTATTGATGTACCCCGAAAATCCCGATCTGGTGGCGGAACTGGAATTCTATTTATAGACACACTTCAAATCAAAGTAATTGACTCTTGTCAAAAAGATTCATTCGAACACTCTTTGTTTGAACTAGTTTTTAATTCCACGACTATACATATTTTGGTTGTATATCGTCCCCCATACTCGAAGGCCCATCCAGTGTCTACGGCAAAATTCTTTGACGAATTTACACCCTTTCTTGAAGAAATATTATCAACCCATCGCACGGTTATAATTACAGGAGACTTTAACATTCATTATAATAAAACTAATGACTTAGACACGATCGCTCTAAATGAAATGTGCAATGACATGGGTTTAGTGCAACTTGTCAACTGCCAAACGCATCGATCTGGAAACATACTTGATCTGATCATGATCCGAAACAACGACAAAATAGTGTTGTCCGAACCGACCGAAAATTTTCAGATAAGTGACCACTGTTTCATTCATACATATGTATCTCTTCCTAAGCCTAAGATAACAAGGGAAATCAGAAAAGTTAGAAAACTAAAGGACATAGACGAAACGCAATTTCAGGCAGATCTAATCCAATTCAACGAAAGTGCCATAAAATACGAAAATTTAGAAGATACAGCAAAGTTTTACAATTCAGAACTCAGAAATATTTTAGATAAACACGCTCCGGAAAAAGAGAAAATTGTTACTATTCGACCTTCCCTACCATGGTTTACAGAAGATTCGCGTCTCCTTAAAACACGTTGCAGGTCAGCGGAACGAAAATGGAGAGGAAACAAAACCCCGGATAATGACCACGCCTTCCGATGTGCTAAACGAGCCTACAGGAAAAATCTTTAATACAATAGGTATCAGCATATTAACTCAAACATAGCCGAATGTGGAAATGATTCTTCAAAAATGTATAAATTAATATTTGGATTGATTGGCAGAAAAAACTGCAATCCTATGCCGCCTAACGCCAGCGATGCATCACTGGCGGAGGAATTCAGTTCCTTCTTTATTGATAAAATTTTAGCCATTCGCAAAAGTTTAGACGATTTTGAAAAATTTGACCCAAACTTCGGACTTAAATGTACACAAGAGTTTAATACCTTTGATCCTGTTTCAGATGAGGATGTTTTACGTGTGATTAAAAGTTCTAAGCCCACTACCTGCCCAACTGACCCAATCCCGTCTAAATTAATAAAACAATTTTCTGATGTGATATTGCCAACAATTGTTTTCATAGTTAATAAATCACTAACATCTGGTTTATTCGCTAATGAATGGAAAACTGCTATAGTTCGACCCCTGTTGAAAAAAAAAGCGGTTTAGATGTGATTTTGAAAAACTACCGTCCTGTAAGTAATTTAAGTTTTATATCAAAAATTGTGGAAAAATGTGCTCTGAACCAATTTATGAAATATCTGGAATCAAACAGATTATTACCTAGCTATCAAAGTGCATATAGAAGAGGGTTCAGTACCGAAACAGCTCTCCTGAAACTGTCATCAGACATTCTGTGGAAAATGGAAAAACAGGAAGTTACTGCCTTAGTCGCATTGGATCTCTCTGCTGCATTCGACACAGTCGACCATGCCATACTTAGCAACGTGTTAGAAACTACTATCGGAGTATCTGAAGTGGCTCTTCATTGGTTTCAATCATACCTTTCGTTCAGGAAAGCCGAAGTGCATATCAACGCGTCTAAATCACAGACTAGATGTCTGAACTTCTCGGTACCGCAAGGCAGCATATGCGGACCTGTGTTATATACCGTGTACGCGAGTACGCTACAACATTACATCAAAGATTCGGGTGTGTCATTATTAGGTTACGCAGATGACCACTCTGCATACGATTTCAATCAAAAGAGTTTCGCTGATGAGAAACGTGTAACAACAAATTTAGAAAAAGTGTTGGTTACCATCAATGACTGGATGAATTTGAACAAACTAAAACTTAACCCTAGTAAAACTGAATTCGTACTATTTGGCAGTCAACAAATGTTATCTCTATCATCTTCCATTTCCCTTAATGTAGTGGATACGGTTGTTAATTCATCTCCTTGTATCAAATATCTTGGATGTTATCTGGACGAAAATTTAACTTTCAAAAAATTTGTCAGTGAAAAATGCAAAAAATTTCATTGAATTTGTTCTTGATTAAACAAATTCGCCAATATCTTAGTGATGATTCGTGTAAACAAATTTTACAGTCCCTTGTCACTAGCCATTTAGATTATGCAAATAGTGTCTTGTATGGATTGCCAGAGTGTACCATTAAAAGACTACACTTGTTGCAAAATCGTGCTGCAAAGCTTGTGTTGAAGCTGAGGTCTACGGATAGTTCTACTGAAGCACTCAAACGACTACACTGGCTACCGGTACACTACCGCATTAAATTCAAACTTGCATGCATTGTCTTCAAGTGCATTAACGACAGTGACAGCCCACAGTCTCTTAAAGAAATGCTCAGTTTACGAACATCATCATATGACATTCAATCCGTAAATCCTGCAGCGAAAACATTGAACGTCCCGTCCGTAAGACGCAAAACTTTTGCCTCTAGGTCTTTCGCGGTAGCTGGACCTTCGATTTGGAATGAGTTGCCAACGAACGTTCGAATGTTAACTGATTACTATATTTTTAAACGACATCTCAAGGCGTTCTACTACACCTGTGCTTTTAAATAACATTTATTGTGAACACTAGTATATTTTATTTAAACAGCCAGTGAACATTTAGACTTTATTTGATATTTTAACATATGCATTGTTTTTTTATTATATGTATATATGCTATTGTATGTACAGCGCCATTGATTGCATACTATATGTAAAATTGAGCGCTTTAACAAATTTTAATAATAATAATAATAATAATAATAATAAACTACACATTCAATCGTTCAAAGAATATCTTGAGAAAAAAATTAAAACCATATATATATGCAAAATCAACATATTTTTCCATTACTCTGATGAAAATGTCATATTTTCACAAAGAAAACAATTGCAACGTTAACACAACTATGAATAAAAACATATTGGGCAATTAATTCATAAAACATAACCTAATCCTTTTCATGCATATATCACTTCAAATAACAACGAAATAAAATTATATAAATTAAATATATAAATATATATGTATATATAAGAACTTGCACACTCTTCACATTCTATCTTCTAAATAAAGTATTTGAATATACAACAATAATTTAGCTCTAAATGATTTTGACATATCTTTTGAGATATAAATGTAAAATCAATTTATTTTAACTTTCTTGTTTATATAAACAAATGAAATCTTAGTTAATAGCATTCAAAAACTGTAGGGCAAAATAAGTAAAAGAATATTTGCAAGAATATGTTTTTTTACAGATAATTTTTCAATCATTTGTTACAAAACATTTTTTTAAAGCAGGGGAACTTTATTTTCATAACATTTTTCAAGTCTGCATAATTTTGAATTCTCTTAAAAAGCATAATGATGACAGATCTGGTACTGAATCATTTGAAGAACCTGCGAACATTTTACAATTCCAGTCCCATACATATTTGCATAAAAAAGATCTATGTTGTACATAAAACAGAGTAATATATGAAAAGGTAAAGATAATAAACGTTGATCAAATGAAACTTCGTGAAAAATCTAATAAGGCTCTTTGGATCTAAAGTAGTACAGTTTTGCATGAAAAAAAAATGCAAGCGTTCCTTGAGTGTAAAGATAAAACTACATAAAAATTTTCAATATTTGAAACTGTTCATTTACCTAGACATTTGATCTTACCTTTGGATATTTCGGGTATTTTTGTTCCTGAAATGTTCTCTATTTTAGTTTAATGGATTCTAAGGTAAATCACTGTTCGCTTTCTTCGTTTATGATTTTCTTCTTTCTTTTCATGCATGGATACTAGGGGAAAATCACATTTCAATGTAAGTGTAAGTAATTTAAACCGTTTTTATCTATCACATTTTAGGGAAGACTTTCTATATGAATGTTTCTCAGCATTTCTGCCATACAAATACAGAACTGATGAAGAATTAAGAAGGTCCCTTAATGGCGGCGTTCTCTCAGAATATGAATCAGGTCTATGTCACCTTGTTCAGACGCAATATCTATCACTGATTTACCTTGATCATCTCTTACTGCTAATAAGGCTGGGTGATTTGTTGATAAATACCCACAAACATCATAATTACTATCCAGACAAGCAATGTGTAATATACTTTCACCAACATTTGACAAGGCATTGGTGTCCATTCTTTTTCCTATAAGAAAAGAAACAATTTCAACACTTCCTCCCTTGCAAGCTGAATGTAACGCTGTCCATCCGTCATTGTCCCTTATCTCCAATAACTCTGGAAAATGATTGACCAAATGTTCACACATCTCCATTTTACCAGAACGACAGCACTGATGTAAAATTGTTTCACCATCTTCCTGTTTGCTATTTATGTCCATGTTTTTCTCAATCAGTAGTTTTACTATTTGAACATTGCCTCCACAGGCTGCGTCATGCAATACTGTGTTTCTAAATTTGTCTTTGACGTCTAATAGATGGGGATAATTCTCAATTAAATACTCACAAACTTCAAATTTGCCATTCAGACAGGCTATCTGCAGGATACTTTCACCATCATTTGACAAAGTATTTATGTCCATTCCATTTTCTATAAGAAAAGAAACAATTTCTAGACTTCTCCCACTGCTAGCTGAATGTAACACTGTCAATCCGTCATTGTCCCTTATCTCCAATAAATCTGAGAAATGTTCAACCAAATACTCACACATCTCCATTTTACCAGAACGACAGCATTGATGTAAAATTGTTTCACCGTCTCCCTGTAGGGCATTGATGTCCATCTTTTTCTCAATCAATAGTTTTACTATTTGAACATTACCTCCCCGGGCTGCGTCATGCAACACTGTGTTGCTAGATTTGTCTTTGACATCCAATAGCTGGGGGTAATTCTCAATTAAGTACTCACAAACTTCAACCTTCCCATTAAGACAAGCTATATGCAAGATAGTTTGACCATTATTTGACAAGGTATTAATATTCATTCCTTTTTCTATCAGAAAAATCACAATTTCTACATTTCCACCATAGCAAGCTGAATGAAACACTGTCCACCCTTTAGTGTTCTTTATCTTCAATAAATCTGAAAAATGATTGATCAAATACTCACACACCTCTAATTTACCAGAACGACAGCACAGATGTAAAATTGTTTCACCATCTTCCCGTAGGGCATTGATGTCCATGTTTTTCTCAATCAATAGTTTTACTATTTGAACATTGCCTCCCCAGGCTGCAGCATGCAACACTGTATTACCAGACTTGTCTTTGACGTTTAAAAGATGGGGATGATTCTCAACTAAGTACACACAAACTTCAAACTTCCCATTGAGACATGCTATATGCAGAATACTTTTACCATCATTTGACAAGGTATTAATGTCCATTCCTTTTTCTTTAAGAAAAGACACAATTTCTACACTCCCTCCTCTGCAAGCTGAATGTAATACTGTCAATCCCTTATTGTTTCTAACAGATATTAAACTTGGATACATATTTACCAGATACCTACACATTTCCTCTCTACCCCCAGCACAACTCACGTGTAACACAGTCTTCCCGGTATTTGTTGTACAGTTAACATTTAATCCTTTACTTGAGAGAAACTTCAAAAGATCTACGTTCCCTCCTCGAGCTGTGTAGTGGAAAGCATTTTCACCGTCATTGTCTGTAGCATTCAGTAATTCTGGGTATCTTTTCAAGAGATACCCACACATATCAAAATGACCATTGCTACATGCAGCATGCAACATAGATTGACCTGAATTATCTTTTGCAGATACCATATGTTTTATGTCACTTGAAAGATGTATATTTTCATTCTGAAGGAGATGAAGCATGTATTCAAACATATCTATTTTTCCACTGAAAGCTGCCCAATACAAAAGACTTTTACCATGAACATCTGTGTGCTCCTTGAGTAATGCAGGATATTTATCAACAAGATATTTCACCATGTCTATCCTACCATCCTGACAAGCACAAGTAAGAACCGTGTGGCCATTGTCTTGATCTTTTTCATATGGATCACAACCATACTTTAACAGATGAATAAATGCATTTTTATCTCCAGAACTTGCTGCATATTGTAATGCATTGGCGCCTTGGTTGTTTTTAATATGTACAAGGAATGGATATTTTGCCACAACCTGTCCAATTAATTGTGTTTGTTGCATAAGACAGATTTCCTGAAGTAAGCTATGGTTTAAACAACTCCAGATAGGATGCAAAGAATATGAAGTTTGATGAAGATTAACAAACTCGCACACACGTAGCAATAACTCTATATTGCCACTTTGTACAGCATAAAAACTAGTTTGAAGATCACATTCCACACCTGATGATAAAATGAGATTTACAATGTCGGGTTGATTTTTAGAGCAAGCGGCATTAAGTGATCTGTATCTTTGTCTTTTTTCTGAATTCGGAAGTAAATATTCGACCCATTGCTTTTTCCCTGCCTTTGAAAAATGCACAATCATTGAATCCCCCTTGATATCACAATATGTTTTTAATATCGAAGTGCATTGTTCAGTTTGTAATATGTACTCATGGAAGTTTGAATCTTCCCATAATTCCAGTGATGATATGGATGAATACCCATTTACAGACCTTTCTACAATGATATTTGCAATGCGGCGGGCAACATTTTGAAATAATCTTTGTTCTATGCAAACATGTGTGGTTTTTAGCTTTTTTTTACTTGTCGTCAGTGTCAGAAGTAAGGAAGGATGACACATTTGGATCATTTTGTCAGGATCAAAATTAAAGAAGACCCTGAAAAGAGATTGCTGCACTGAACTATGTGTAAATTTATAGGTATTTTCTATCGTGTCATGAGTTATTAAAAACCCTTCAAAACAATGAATATTGTCCTGAAAATCGTTGATATATGAGTTATGTAGACCTACAAATTCTAAAGAGTCGCGTTTCATCTCTAAATCAAGATGAAGGTTATCAATCAATTTGAATTCTACTTTTCCTCCTCTCAGAAGTAGATATACTAAAACAGCGATTTTTACAGTTCGATTTTTCATTAGAGTTTTGAAGTAGTCTTTCAAAAAGATCAATGTATTTGGTAAAAAGGCAGATATATTTTCCTTAAAAGTTTCATTACCACTTGCCAATTTACAACATTGTGGAAACCCTATAGCTAATGGCATTTCATAGACCTTATCGATAAGTTCTCTGTCTTCTATGTATTTAGACAATTCATATTTTTCTGATAAATGTATTATTTCTTCCTTTAGCAATGCATCTTTCTTGCTTGATAGATCAACCAAGGACGACATAAAAAAATCGTCCTCGTCTTTGCATTCGTTTTGTACATATTCCTGATATATATCATTTCTTAGAGCAAATATCAATCTGTTTGATTTACTATCTATCTGACTCTCAATCAACACTTTAATTGTCTCTTCTATTGCTTTAAAGTCTTTAACAGTTTCGCTGGACAAACATATCTCTCCAAATAAATTGTCAATGAATACCACTATACCATCACCTGGTAAAATGCTTCCATACAAATCTGTCAACCTGTAAAGCTGAAGTGGAGATTTTCCATCCTCCATCAATTCTTTCATCAACATCTTAGCGATTGTGGTTTTTCCAGTTCCAGGGTTCCCCTTGATGACGACATACCCGTTTTCGTCCAACAGTTCCTTCACTTTATCAAACGCACGGGTTTTTACAAATAGATGACCTACGACTTCATAATGTTTTTGTATCATTTGTGTCGTTGTTTCTGAAAATAGAAAGGGAAAAATTAATATCTTTAAAGTACAAGGAACAAATGTTAATAGGTTTTAAGAATCTCTTTCTTATTTATTCATAAGTATATACCCTGTAGAAAAGGTGAATTGGTTATTTTGCCTGATCTTCAAGGTTTTTGAGCTTCAAATAGAAGTTTATCACTTTCTGCCGATGATAATTTTTGTTCATCGGACCCTCGCGCTCGTATTTAAACAAAATTTTACAAATAATATTAATTGAAAATTCCCACACCATGGAAATTCTGTGCTATTTTCTGTTCCATTCCCAATCTATTTATCGTATTTTTAATCTGCTTACTCTGCAAATCAGTAAAAATATAATTGTCTCATTTTTTTTGTAACCCCGCCTAAAACTGTTCCTACAAAATAGTAATAAAATTATTTTTTATCACTGGCCCGCTCTTATTTTTTTCATCGAATTAAAATATTTTAATTGAATTTCAACCTGGTTTTAAAAGTATGTACTCCAATGAAACTTTTTCTTACATTTATTTTATTTTATTAGAGACTGCAAAGGAATTATATACTGGAATGGTTTTGCATAATCTGCAAAAGGCATTTGACACTGTAGACCATGACGTACTTTTGTAAAAAAAAACTGAAGGAAATTCGTGTTCAATATGTTGATAGGTTTTTATCTTATTTGTCTGAAAGAAAAGTTTTTTTTTACAGCAATGGAATTTCATCAGATGATGGTATTATCAAATGTGGTGTACCTCAGGGCAGCATTCTAGGCTCTTTATAATTTTTAAATTACGTTAATGACATGGTAGCAAGTGTTGACTCAGATTGTAATCTTATTTTAAACGCTGATGACAGTGCTATTTTATTGGCATATAAAGATCAAGATTTTATATCAGAAAAGCTTAGTAAAGTTTTAGATCAGACTTCTCATTGGCTTGTAGATGATAAATTTTCATTACATTTAGGAAAACAACTGAATGAATTATGGTTCCCAAAGAAAGCTTCAAAATGATCAAAATTTCCAGGCTGTATTTAATGACCATAACTTTGAATATAAAGAAAAAGTTTATTATCTTGGAGTTGAGATGGACTAATGTTTAAGTTGAGAATGCATTTGTTGAATCGATTGTTCAGAAAATAAATATGAGACTGCGTTTTCTCAGTGATGTAGCATTGTTTTTGACAGGGGGTGGGGCAGCCAGAGAAATTTCTTACTTACCCGAGAAAGGTTGACAAGCAGAAAAAAAAAAGAAAAATTGCCCAAACTCGAAATTCCTATTTCATGGGTGGGGGGGGGGGGGGACGCCAACTTTTCCTGTAACGACACCAATTTTTTTTTAATCCAATACTACCTTTTCCTTATTTCCCTTTTCTGTAGCGAAACGGAGGGGGTGCAACCTGCTTTTCAATGAATAGTAACAGATATATTTTGAAAAAAAGTGGGGAGGGGGCAGCCCTCCTCCCACACAACCCCTTTTCCGTTGCTACGAGCCTGTTACCGACAGGCCCGTTTTTTAGATACTTTTTGTAAAATGACTTTGTGTTCAGCATTCATACAATGTCATATTGATTACGCCTGCAGTGCTTGGTATGCAGGGCTATGCAATACCTTAAAAAATACAAATTTGTCAAAACATGGTGGTTGATTTGTTTTTAATTAAGGTCAACAGGCATCTGTGAATTACAGTGCTGCTATCCCACAAGTTGACACTGGTGGGGATCGGATAGGATTCGGGATTGAGGGTTCCAGATTTAAACAAATAGTAGTTAATCGAACTGCATCCTATTCTGCATCCTACTGCTAATCAGAAACTTTTCAACATTTTATTTTATTATGTTTACGTATCTACTGTCATTTTCCACTATAGCTCATAGTGAATCAATTGCATTTATATTTCTATAAATGCATATTTCTATAAATGCAATTGCTATATTTGTATCCGCAACTGCATCTCAGACATTCACGTAGAATCACCTTTCCAATTATGACAGAATCTGAACTTGTTTATTTCGGTAATATTTACGAAAATATATTAAAAAAGTCTCCAACTAATGCCACTTCTCTCTTCAATCAATATGACAAAGCAGCCCTTTCAAATCCTGAAAAAAAATTTAGTTCATCTCGAATGTCTTATCAAAACGTACTTTTCAAACAAACTTTTGTGCCCGATATTTGTAAAAATGCTGGTGTTGGAAAAAAAAATACACACCCCACTGCATCCTTGCCATCATCCAGCATCTGAACGACTCAGGGTGGGAAGCACGTCATATTATATTTTCATCAGGCCACAGAAATGAATCATCTTTAAGATCTTACAGCAGGACCGTATCTACTTCACAAAAAAGGGCCCTTTGCACGAAATTGTCGTCACGTAAATCACAAACCTTGGCAGCAACAACGTGCGATGTCAAAAATTGCATTAGTGCCTCTCCCACCGGTCTAAAATGAACTACTTTCTATTGAAACCTCCACCACCGCATCTGCAGCCTTACTATCATATCAGCTGTCAAATAATTCAGTCACACAAACGCCTGGTTTCTTCGCAAATTCCACATTTAACAATTGTAACTTTCATTGCAAATGTGCAGATAACAGCGTATAGAAATATAGTTCTCTATTTGAGATTTATTCTCATTTGAAATGTTTAATAAGTGGAAGTCCAGATATTCTAGATTTCAATTTTGACCTGTCTGTTTGGTTTATGGTCTAATCAAATCTTCTTATTTAGACTTACATACAAAATAAAATGTTATTTAGACACAGATAGACTATACATGTTATTTTCATGGTACTCAGTTTATGAGAAAATAAAGTTTTACATGAAACATATAATTGTTAAAAAAGTTAAACGTATACTTCTTTTGTCATTACACTGTATTGACAGTGAGGCTGTGTCCGAATTTTCATATTTCGTTAAAGTTTGAAACTTATTCGAATTAAAAATTAAATCCATTAAGTGTTTCGTATCGTAATCTGCAATTACAATTTCTCAGCGACACTACGTTTCTAAATTATCGTAATACAGACAATGATTATTATTTTAATAGCACATAGGCAGCATAAGATTTATTATCAATCAATTATCACCTTCAAGAATAAGTGTCACCTGATAAAAATCCCTTTTACGAGACCCATGTCTTCTGCCTGGGGTCATTAAATGTCCAGGTAAAGTTGCTTATTATGTAACATATGTATACACATAGCCACGTATACATAGCAACTTCGAGGTATAAAGGATAAATTTCAATAGAATATGCACAGCGGGACTGCATTTTGGCTTCGAGGGATCAAGGGTTTCCAGAGATCAAGAGTTCGAGAAATCAAGAGTAAATTTGCTTAGTTATATAGGGGAAAATTCGGAACAGGAGACTCAGTTCGAGAGATCGAAGTTCGAGCCATCAAGAGTTACCTGTATTTAATACGTGTAGATATGTTAGAGCAATTGTGTCTTCAGTGGGTACGGCTATTATACAGTGTACCTTCCCCGCATGAAGGTGTTGGCATTCGTGGTCTGATTCTTATGAAGAGTTTTACATGTAATCATAACATAAGAAAAGTACCTGAAATCTTTTTGTTATTACTTACTCCCTTTTCTATATCTAATTTTAACCCCAATTATTTTTCCTTACGTAGAGAACAAATTACAAAAGAAATCACAAATACCGCCACAACACAGGGGTTATAATTATTTATGCGAAAAAAAAAGTCACTACACCTGTTGTATTATTACCGTATTAGCCTTTTGTAGTGGACAGTATATAGGGAACTGATACTGCCTCGCTAGTAGTGGAGTGACAATCCTAGAAAAAGATGCTTAGTTTTCGAGTTTAATGGTCCGGCATACCCTACGGCTGAAAGTTGTATTTTATAAAAGAGACATCCCTCCTCATACATTTTCGCCCGGTCGTAGAGTTTTCTCTAGTCAATTTTTTTTTAACTTGCGATGATAGTCGAAAGAGGGGGGGGGGAGGGGTATTTAATTTATTTATTTTTCTAGCTTATATTTTGTTTTCAAAGATTAATTATTGATTTTAAAAGAATACCAATTTGTGTGTGATAGGATAGCTACAGGTATCTAAATTTACAATGCAAAATTAATCAAGAATATTATTTGCCCCCCCCCCTTTTTTTTTAAAAATCTTATGTTTTGTTATAGAAACGGCGTTAATTTCAATAAAATATATTCAGTATAATTATTTATGATTAATATTGCGATGTTAATAACAATGTTTACTTAAGCCTTAGAAAGATTTATAAGACAATGATTTCTGATCAAATAAACCGCACTTTTTTAAAAGACATCCTTTTACTCTCTTTGATCAAAATATTGTTAAATATATTAAATTGGCTTCTATTATTAAAACGATAACGCTAATATTCCGTTTGAATTTAAATTAATGAGCATTTTATAGTAACTTTCATTTTTTCAATTATTCAAAATAAGTGATACATATTTTGTTTACGCATTTCCCCATTTACATGTACATACTGCCAAAAATTGAACTCTGTTACTATAATTCTTCATAAGGGTGTCATATTTGTTCAGATAAGTCCTTACGGTACTTAATCTTTTCTTTTGAAAAAACGTGTCAGAGAGGAAGATATGAATCAAACGGAACCGTAATAGCAATCCATTGAAGTTTTTGCTTGGAAAACTCATGGTTTGTTCTGTCTTAAGAAATCTTTTCGATATTTTTTATTTTGAGAAAGAATTAATTAAATTGACAGTTTTGCTTCAAGAATTAATTGTACAAATTGCAATGGAGACAGAAATCTAAGACGCTATCTTTAAGCATCGCAGCACAGTTAAGGTTAAAAATGGAAATATCGGCAATTTTAAAGATAAAAAAATACATACTTTATTAAGATTAGCGATTCTTTTTAGCAATTCACTGATATAAAAAAAATGTAATGTGGTTTAAATCTACATGTTGAAACATTTAGATTTTTAATTTAGACTTGTCATGTAATGTCGACGTCACATGACTTTGGCAATTATACTTGCAG